CTCTTGCAGGGTGGCGCACCATGCTAGTGGTGCCTGAGCTAGTACGGGAGATTCATGTGCTTAAAGCCACTCTTGATCTGCGACAGGTGAGATGTTTCGTATTGATCCCTGCTCTCTGCCCTCAGCCCTCTGCCCTTGCTCTCTGCTCTCTGCTCTCCGATCTCTGCTCTCCGATCTCTGCTCTCCGCTCTCTGCTCTCCGCTCTCTTCTGCTACCCTCTGCCATCTGCTCTTTGCTCCTGCCCTCTGCTCTCTGCCCTCTGCTCTCTGCTCTCTGCTCTCTGCTCTCTGCTCTCTGCTCTCTGCTCTCTGCCCTCTGCCCTCTGCTCTCTGCTCACTGCCCTGTGCTCACTGCCCTCTGCTCACTGCCCTCGAGCACACACACACAATGCACAGCGGCAGCCTCCTTTCCTCATGCGGGCCCCACAGTTGACGGTGCCACAGCAAGCGCTTGGACATGGAAGGCCACAGATTTCACACACATGCTTTTTGTTTGGTCGTCCTCGTTGATAATCCCCCCTCTTCCTTTGTTGCCCATTCCTCACAAAGCCCGCTGCAACCACTGCAATTGGATCCAATTGCATCTTTCTGCCCCTTGTGCCCGCTGCCCGCCTCGCCCACACCTATCCGGCTGTCCTCCCATGTTGGCGACCTTTTGAGAGCAGGCCTTTCATCACCTGCGGCATCAAATTGAATCCCCGGATGGCGCCATGCAACGACTCGGCTGATTTTTCAGTCAACTCAAAAATCACCCACACGTCTCCGGCTGTCCCCCCGTGTTGGCAACTTTTTGAGAGCAGGCGTTTCATCACCTGCGGCATCAGATTGACTCCCTGGATGACGCCATACAACGACTCAGCTGGGCCATCAGGTGACATGCCTTGCTGCGCCATGCCATGCCATGCCATGCGGTGCCGTGCCATGCCGTGACGTGCCGTGCCGTGATTTTACTGTTGGATGGACACTCATTATGCCACTCCATGCCATACATCGCCACTGCATGCCATACATCGCCACTCCATGCCATACATCGCCACTCCATGCCATACATCGCCACTCCATGCCATACATGGCCACTCCATGCCATACATCGCCACTCCATGCCATACATCGCCACTCCATGCCATACATGGCCACTCCATGCCATACATCGCCACTCCATGCCATACATCGCCACTCCATGCCATACATCGCTACTCCATGCCGTCATGAACCTGCCCATGCCATACGGTGAGAGTCTGTCATGGCATCTGACCCAAGCCGCACGTGCTGTCTGTCTCACCGCACGTTGCTTGTCAACTGATGCGCTGCTCGCACCTCTCGCACCTCTCGCACGGTCACACCTTGGCTGTGGAGCGCCTGCTGTGCAGGTTTGAGAGGATGGACGAGAGGACGAGGGAGCAAGCGGAGCAGGAAATGGCGTCCCTGCAGGTGGGTGTAGTCGTGGGCGTGGGGCCATTATGGGCGTGGGGCCACCAGGGTGTACTGCATGGGATGTGTGAAGAGAGTGGAATCTTGCAGCGAAGTCACTGTGGATGTTCCCTGGCTTGTATGGCTGGCAAAGTGGTCGGCCGGGTGCATCATCATCAGATGGGCTCACAGGCTGCAAATCCTCTCTTGGTGTGTTGGTTTGTGAAGGTGTTTGAAGGTGTGTGAAGGTATGTGAAGGTGTGATTGTCTCTGGAGTTGTACGAGCTGTGAAGCAACTTACCTCTGGCGTTCACCTTTCACATTATGCCCTTTCTGTCCGCATGCACGTGTATGTGTCTCCCTTCCCCTCCATACACAGGCTCAGAGGGAGGCAGCAGGGGTACAGCGGCGTGACACCATGCAGAAATGGCACCAACAAGTGAGCACCGCATTGCGCCGACCTCCTCGTTCTCCCCACACCCCCCGTCACCCCATGCCCCTCATGCCCGACGCACCCTCCACCCCAACCCCCACCATCCCTTTTCTCCCTGCCCGCTTCTGGTTCCCATCCTCTCAAGGGCACCCCTCCCACTTCCTACCAGTTGGCATCAGCTGCTCCCTCACTGCTGTCCGCCGCTTGCCGCCTTTGCATTCCGGCCATCTCTTTTTTAGGTTCCCACTGCTTTGTTTCCCCTTGACGCCCTCCTCAATGAAGTCCTCTTGTTGCTGACCTCTGCAATGCTTGCTGTGCAATGCTTGCCATGCAATGCTTTCCGTGCAATGCTTGACGTGCAATGCTTGCCGTGCAATGCTTGCCATCCAATGCTTGCTTTGAAGCCCTCCTCAATGCAGTCCCCTCCCCTTGCCGCTGACCTGAGCAATGCTTGCTGTGTGCAGTTCCACCCAGTGTGGGGCCAGCTGATGAAGACGGGATATCAGAACTCGCGCTTTGCTCACCAGGTGTGCCCTTGGGCTGTCACATGTGTTATCGGTTGCTGTCCCTGCATTTTTCATCTCCTGGCATCTCTTGGATTCCTTACCTCTGCTTTTAGCTTCCCTTCTCTCTTCGCTCCTCTACATTGCGCCCCATATCTCCCTGTCAAATGTGAGGCAGGTCGAGCGTTTCGCTTGCCTGTACACCAGCCATGTCACCAATCTCGGCTACTATTCGCCGGATAAGAGTTACCGCACATGTGAAGACTTCATGCCTCATGAGCTAGACATTCTTGACATCTGACATGACTACTACACTGCTCAAGCCATCGGATGTGTGCCGTTGCTGTACAATGGAGTTGGGAGGCAAGACAGGTCAAGTGCGTGTAGCACCATGGCTGTGCCTCCAATTGGGTTCGTACAATGGTAATAAGTATGAGTGAAGTCAATGTCTCTTCATGCTTAAACGATAGGTTGAGAAAATTCCCTGAACTGGTGTATAATCAGTGTGGCCTGGGCGGCCTGTACCACAACCCAGCTGGATCTTACCGGAGATGGGATCTGTAGTGCTGACCGTCGGATAGCTTCCCATATGTACATTCCGGTGGTCCCCATTCCATCAATCTGGGAGTGATGGCGCTGGACCTAGGTCGAAAATTTTGTGCATTTCGTGCTGAATCAGATCCCAAGGGGACTCTTAGGGTGCGCAGCACTTAGGCGGCATTGACCCGCAGAAACTACCCGCCTGATTAGCAACTTTGCTAAATACCACGATCGAACTGAAATTTGCGGATTGTGCTCCGCCCTTCTCGGGGTGCCAACTCAGCCGTCGGATCTTGCTTTGAGGTGAAGATCCCGCCGCTTCCATCCATCCACACCCTTCATTCTTTACATCCCTCCACCCAGCCTCCTCTCCTCACATCACCCCTGGGGAGAGCAGCAAGCGAGCACTGAGCAAGCACCTCAGCAATCTCCCCCCATTTCTTCCCATCAGATTCATCTCTCATCTTCGAACTTTCCGTCCCTTGTACATGATTCCACGATCCATTTTCTGAGCACGAGCAGCCTTTTCTCTTTGAGAGTTGATCTGTCCAGCCCTACGCACGTCCTCTCAGATTCGTCGTTCCTGAGCCGCGCTCGCGCGTTGCTTCGACCCTATATCGTTGATTGTGAGGCTTCAGTCCCGCGGACCGTGCAGCTCAGGGCGCGTCCATCGGGTTGCTTCTTCTAGGAGGAGTTGGACGGTAGCGATTCGCGTTTGTGAAATTTTATTCCACAATCAGCCATGTTGGGGGAGATCCTTAGCGTTCAGCCGGCGGAGTTGAAATTTCCATGTGAGTATTGCCGCTACCTTTGTCTAGCCTCATGCAATGTATTGGTTTCTACGAACGGCGTGTTCGTCTGCCGTAGCCAACACTCCGCAGCCTAGAGTTAATGCTATTTTACCTACGACCAGATTAGCGATCTCGGCGTTCCTTGTGCGTACACGTGATTTCCTTTAAGTCGCGAAAGTTATTGTTAGAAGGATGTTGTGTTTCAGCTTCTGTTGGCTTCTCTACTTCTGTCTCTTGCGATCAGCGTCGTTTAACTCTGTCTAAGATCTTCGACCTCCTATACCGGGATCTAGAATAGGTAGTTGGTTTAAGTCTTTTACCGATATTTGCCTAACTTTGAAAAGCCGTGCATTCACGTTCGTCCCACCTGTGCAGTTGAGCTCCGGAAACAAGTCTCAACGTCGCTCCGCCTGGTGAATGTGACTTCGGAATATGTCGCCTTCAAGGTTCGCTGCAGTCGCAACTTCCGCCACTCCCTGCACTGCCATCGCCACTTGCTCTCATTCCCTTTCGAGGCTAAACAGAGTTTGTTGTTACCCCGTCGTGCTTTTGTTCTTGCTGATCTCCCTCCCTCACACTCTCCATCTTTCCCTCTGCCTCCCGCCTTCTTCCCGCTCTCCTCCCGTCTTCCTCCCGTCTTCCTCCTGCCATCCCTCCTCTTTTTCCGTCGTTTTCAGGTCAAGACGACATCGCCGAAGAAGTACTGCGTGAGGCCCAACACGGGACTCGTCCCCCCTCAAAGTAGCGCCGAGGTCGTCGGTACGTGTGCCGCCTTCCTAACCTTCCCTACCCTAGCTTACCCTACCCTACCCTACCCTACCCTGCCCTCTCCCGCTTGCTTCGTTCATCTTCCTGTGACTCCGTCGGCGCTGGCTCGCTGCGCTTTTTTCACCGCGTTGTTCCGCCGCGATTCACACCATGTGTTGCACTTATCGTGTTTGGTATGGCCAATGCTTCCCTGCAGGATGTCGATGTCTCTCTGTCCCCGTCTCTCTCTCTCTCTCTCTCTCTCTCTCTCTCTCTCTCTCTCTCTCTCTCTCTCTCTCTCTCTCTCTCTCTCTCTCTCTCTCTCTCTCTCTCTCTCTCACTCACTCACTCACTCTCACTCACTCTCACTCTCTCACTCACTCTCACTCTCTCACTCTCTCTCTCTCTCCGTCTCCGTCTCCGTCTCCGTCGCTGCCTCTGGCGGCGGTGCAGTGACGATGCAAGCGCAGAAGGAGATGGCAGCTGACTTGCAATGCGAGGTCAAGCTCCTCGTGCAGAGCGTGCTTAGTTTGGAGGCAGGCCCATTAAGAATCTTCCCTAATCGCCATCCTCCTCCCCCACTCTCTCCTCCGTGTCCGCAGTGACGATGCAAGCGCAGAAGGAGATGCCGGCGGACTTGCAATGCAAGGACAAGTTCCTCGTGCAGAGCGTGCTCGTGCCGGGGGGAGCTCCCAAGGAAACCACTCAAGACTTCGTACGTTTGCTGCTGCTCGCTGAAAGCTGACACACACATGTCGCGGCTTCGGCTTCGAATGCGTATCTCGTTGTCGTCTTCTTTCTGTGAATCTCACTCGCTCTGCGTTGCACTGGATCTCACTACAACGAGCCTCTTCGTTTCACGACATCTGATATCTGCGTATATTTACCCCTCTCTTGCGCGCGGATGTTACCTGTTTGAGTGCCTCGCAGTTCAATAAGGAGAACGGGCGGGAGATTCACGAGGTGAAGTTGCGGGTGATCTACGTGGCGCCACCTCAGCCGCCCTCACCCGTGGCCGAGTCAGCTGAGGAGGGTGTCATCTCACCCAGCCCCTTTCCCACCAGCACCAAGGGTCTCACGCCTGCTGATCCCGTACGTGTGATTGCGTCACTCCTATCAGGCTTTTGAGTCGACTCAAAAGCGTACGTGTGATTGCGTCACTCCTATCAGGCTCTTGAGTCGACTCAAAAGCGTACGTGTGATTGCGTCACTCCTATCAGGCTTTTGAGTCGACTCAAAAGCGTACGTGTGATTGCGTCACTCCGATCAGGCTTTTGAGTCGACTCAAAAGCGTACGTGTGATTGCGTCACTCCTATCAGGCTTTTGAGCCGACTCAAAAGCGTACGGGTGATTGCGTCACTCCTATCAGGCTATCACCCCGTTTCGTCGCTCCCGCTTTAGCCTTCTGTCGCCCACCTTACAACCATTACCATCTGTGGTGTTTCTGTATGACTCGTTGTCTCCATATCTCCCTTAGTCGTACCCTGCTGCCTCCCTCCTTCCTCGCTCCCTCCCTCTCCCTCTCTCGCTTTCTCGCAACCCTGAGGCCGCTTGTTGCGTCTCTTTCCTTACAAAGACTTGCAGCATCGTCTCAAATCAAATGTGCTCATCCCAGTACCTTGTTGTATAAACGTCTTCTCGTCCCTCTGCGTGCTCCTCTGTCTGCATGCCATGCTGCAGAGTGCAAAGGATGTGGTTGAGCTCAAAGCAAAGCTTACAGAGGTGTGTATGCGCTTCTATTGTAAATACCACAGATTCCCTCCTTACCCCGTTTCCCCCCTTCCCCCCACCACCTCCCCACCCAACCCCCCACCCAACCCCCTACCCCCACCCCCTTTCCCCTTCCCACCTTCCTCCCTTCCCTTCACCCCCATCGCCCTTCGCTGTCTCTTCCACAGTTGCCGCATCGAATCTATTCGTGCTGAATTTGCTGTACCGCGCATGCGGTTCATAGACCTTGTTTCCTGTCATATGATGTGCGTGCCAGGCCAAGTCCGCTCTTGCCCAAGCCACGGACGATCGCAACAATGCCGTGCGGGAGGTGCAACGCCTCAAGGTCCGTGCTCCTTGCTCCTTGCTCCTTGCTTCCTGCTCATCTCATCTGTGCTTGCTCTAAGGACTTTTTGTGCTTGTTCCGCTGACGGCAAGGCATGCAACAACAAGATGCAAATCAGGAAGGAGTCAGGAGGAGGGTGTTGCACAGCTGCGCGCTGTTGCCTCTAGTTGTCCAAGGCTTTGAACCAGTGGGGGAGAGGGGTCAACGCTGTACAATCGGATTAATGCAAGCATTAAGTAGGTATCTGATCCGTACCACTTGTTTGTGTATCTCCCTCCTGTCCATCCTCTCTCATCCTGCACCTGTTCCAGAGCACCTTGTCCGGTCAGGGCCAGGGGAAGCAGGGCGGAGGCGGCTTCTCCTTTGTGACTCTCCTCGTGGTGGCCCTTATCTTCTTCCTCGTTGGTTTCCTCGGAGCCAAGGGCCTGCTGCCTCTGCCTGGCGGCTCCTCCCCTGCTGGTGCAGCTGGCGAGCTATGAGCTGGTGGCTGGGCCTTGGGATCTCCGTGGGTGTACCAGACAAGAGGTGTAACCATGCAAGCAACATTGTCATGCCGTGGGGTGTGTAACAGACCACCATGGCCGAAATAGAACTGTTGCAAATGTTACTTGTGTTATGTATGGGGCGTTACGGAGGCATGATTCAAGGGCTTGCGAGCTACTAGTGGGGGTTAGGTTCGTGTAGTGATGTGAGTGACAGAGGTACTGCTAGTACTTAGCCTTTTAGGCTTGTTTTGGGGGAGTTGCCTATCTATACAAACTGCCTAGTCTTTCAACGATAAGCATGTTTCTAAGTCGACGAACCCTGAGTTTAACTACGTGTAGTGGTATCGGACCATTCCCAAACGGGTTTTTAACTATCCATCCACCTCCATGCCAGCACACCGGGGCTGCAACCTCAGTCGCGAAGTCGCTAAGTAGCTTTCTCCCTCATGCTCGCTCGCGCTTCCACCGTCTTACCTCCTCTCCGCCGATCTCTCCCATGCTATCCCCGCCCCGCCGCCATGGACTTACTTAGCCACTCGCGTCTATACCGCACCATCCATGCGCCCTCACTCATGCCCCCCTCGCGGCATTCTCAGAACCCTGCAACCTCGAGCACGCCGGTAGCGATGGATCGACCTTCGGCGCTGCGTTCGGCGCTCTCTCATGGGACTGCTTCTGGCGTTTGCGCGGGTCAGCGTGTAGGGCTCCTGCCACGTCAGCCGCATGTCACCGCTGCAAGAGCCGCCAGGCAGCGGCAGCTCGGTGCGCAGCATATCGCGCTGGGGGGTTTGCGCTTGGCGGAACGGATCCGCGCGCCACATGCTTGCGCGTACTCCAGTCGTATAGGCGCCTTCCCACGGGCTGTGCCTGCAGGCGGGGTTGCGCGCGCCCAGGTACCTGGCGCGGAAGACGCAGACTCCGCCTTGGCGGATGAAGCGGAACTAGCGGATGTTGGCGCGGACCCGGGGGAAGGCGGGCGTAGGCGGAACGGTCAGCGCAAGCCGCGGGGGGGGGCGGGGGCAGGACTCTGGCAAGAGGGGGAGGCGGTTCAGTGGGTGCGCGCGGTGCAGGCGCGGGGGGGCGAGAGCGGGGAAGGTACCAGTGGCGGAGATCGGAGTGCGGGGACGCGGCGACCGCGGAAGGGGGAGGAGCTGGAGCTGATGTGCGATAGCCTTGCGTTCAAAGTGAGCCGCCTCTGATTCCGCTGATTCCGCTGATTCCGCTGATTCCGCTGATTCCGCTGATTCCGCTGATTCCGCTGATTCCTCTGATTCCTCTGATTCCTCTTATCACGCCCTTCAAATTCTCTCAAACCCTCTCTGAAACTTCCGAGCACGTCTACTAACCTCTTTACATCGCCTCTGTAGCTTTTAGAATCCTATGCCCTACTAATTTGCGCCCACACTACTCTCGTATAAACCCCTGTTGATCTGCTACATCCCAAAACCTTAAACCTCAAACCCCTCCCCGTACGACCTTGCCGTCGGAAACAGGGTTTAGGCGTGTGCCGCGTGCCCGAGAGCGGCTTCGTGGTGCTGTGCGAGCGCGCGCTGCCGGGGGAACGGCTGGTGGCGAGAATAGTCAAAGCCAAGCGGCAGTATGCAGAGGTGAGGTGATGCTGTGATGCTGTGATGCTGTGATGCTGCGATGCTGTGATGCTGTGATGCTATGATGCTGTGATGATGTGATGATGTGATGCTGTGATGCTGTGATGCTGTGATGCTGTGATGATGTGATGCTGTGATGCTGTGATGCTGCGATGCTGTGATGATGTGATGCTGTGATGCTGTGATGCTGTGATGCTGTGATGATGTGATGCTGTTATGCTGTGATGCTGTGATGCTGTGATGCTGTGATGCTGCGATGCTGTGATGCTGTGATGCTATGATGCTGTGATGATGTGATGATGTGATGCTGTGATGCTGTGATGCTGTGATGCTGTGATGATGTGATGCTGTGATGCTGTGATGCTGCGATGCTGTGATGATGTGATGCTGTGATGCTGTGATGCTGTGATGCTGTGATGATGTGATGCTGTGATGCTGTGATGCTGTGATGATGTGATGATGTGATGCTTTTTATTAGTTACAAGGTCTCGTAATCTACGTGCTCACACACTCACATGCTTTTTTGCCCTTCGCTCCTACTTTCCCAAGCTCCACTTCCCGGACTTCCCCACTTCCCTTTCTTCCTCCATTCTTGAGGCGCCTCAAAAATCCCCCATTCACCCCATTCACCCCATTCACCCCATTCACCCCATTCACCCCATTCACCCCATTCACCCCATTCACCCCATTCACCCCATTCACCCCATTCACCCCATTCACCGCTAAGTTGGAATATAAGCGTATCGCGTTTTATACGAAAGCGTTTATACGAGAGCGTTATATATGCAATACGCTTAGGAGGAGGGGGTCGGGTACGCACAGAATACGGTGGCCCGGGCAGGGAACTTTTTTTTCCGGGCAGGTGGAAGTACGGGTTGCCTCAGCAGATGGGGGAGAGGGTGATGCTGCAGGGCTGGAAGTCATGGTGGCGCGCAAGCTACGGTAGAAAGGGAACTGCGAGAATGAGTATCGAATGTTGAAATGGCAGTAATTTATGCTAGGAGAGCTGACTCTGTTTGAGGCCAACTCGTCTCAAGGAGGAGTTGGGAAGGATTGGGAAGTGACGATGTGGAGAGGGGTGGACCGAGGTTCGAAGGGGGGGTTGGCGGGGTTCGAAATTTGAACTCGAAGTTGAGTCCACGCGATGTGCGAAGGCGCGAATCCTTTTCGCCAAGTCAGAAAATGTTGGAAATTATTGGGTTTTTTTTCTCGGTCAGCCCATGCGTATTTCGGCGTATCTAGACCAAAAAGGCAGCGTACGTATTTTCTATGCGTTTAAACGCGATACGCAATCAAAAGTGAGCGTTTTTTCCAACTTAGATTCACCGTCTTGCCACATCTCTTTCCTTCCCTCCTTCCCCCTGCTCTCCCCTCCGCCACCCCCCCCCCCCCCCGCCCTTCCCCCCCTTGCTCCCTCCCCCACAGGCATACAAAGTCCGCGTGCTCTCCCCCCACCACCACGCTACCACCCCCCGCTGCCAGCACTTCGGGCACTGCGGGGGCTGCCGACTGCAGAACCTGGAGTACGAGGCACAGCTGCGGATCAAACAGGAGCAGGTGAGGGTTTGTTGAGGGGGGTGGGGAGCGTCTTGATTGAACCCGTGGATTTGGATGGAACCCAAAGGCACTGCGGGGGCTGCCGGCTGCAGAACCTGGAGTACGCGGCCCAGCTGCGGACCAAACTGAGCTGGTGAGGGTTCATTGAGGGGCGTGGGGGGGGGGGTTTGGGGGGGGAGAGGGGGGGGGGGGGGTTCTCTTGAGCCCAAGGGTTTGGAACCTGAGGCCACTGTGGGGGCTGCCGGCTGCAGAACTTGGAGTACGCGGTGCAGCTGCGGATCAAACAGGAGCAGGTGAGGGTTTTTCAAACAGTGTGCAGGAGCTGCAGGGATCCATCCATGTGTGTGTGGCTCCACCTGGACAGTTGCTTGAAGCGTTGTTAGTTACCAGCCTTGCTCATGGTAATATGGAATTGCTCTATTCTCCATCCTTCCTCATGTGTTCGTGTGTGCTTGTGTGTGCTTGTGTGTGTGTGCGTGTGGCTGGATACATGCATGCATGTGCATGCGTGCATATGTCTACTACCAGGTAGCCGAGCTCATGGTTCGCACTGGCAAGTTCACCCTAGCGCCGCCATCCCCTGTAGCTCCAACCACTGCACCAGCTGCAGCAGCAGCACAAGGCCAAGCAGCAGCAGCAGCAGCGGCGGCGGCAGAAGTAGGCCTGAGAATAGGGGAGGGAACGGATGACGAGGTGGGAGGCAATGCGGAGGACGCGGAGTCAAGGCAGGAGTTAAAACAGCAGCAGCAGCAGCAGCAGCAGCAGCAGGCAGATCTTCCCGTTGAACTGAGAGACATCATTGGATGTGCCGAGTCATACCACTACCGCAACAAGGCAAGATGCTGCCCCCTGACTTTCTCACCCTTGCTCCCCTTCTCCCCTCCCCCATCCAACTCTCTTCCCCCTCCTCTCGCTCCTGTTCTCCTCTCTCTTGATCTCCTTTCTGACTTTCACTGTCCCTCACACTCGCCCACTGACTCCCTACCACGCTCACCCGTTCACCCGCCCCTTTCCACCTTCTCCCTCCCGTTCCCTCTCCCTTAACCCTTCTTCCACACCGTCGTGCACACTCTCACTCTCACTCGCTCTCTCTCTCGCTCTCCCCCCTTTTTCCTTCAGATGGAATTCTCTTTCAACAGTCGTGTCTGGCTGCCCCCTTCCGACATGCCCGCGAAGCAAGCACCAGCAGCAGCGGCAGCACCAGCAGCAACAGCAGCAGCAGAAGCATCACCAGCGCAGGCAGCAGCAGCAGAGGCTGCTTATGGAGAAAGCGGGAGTGAGAGCGAGGGGGAGGGAGCGAGAGACGAGCAGGAGGATCCGAGGAAAAGGGAAGGGGGGGGAGAGGGGGAAGGGGGGGGAGAGGGGGGAGAGGGGGGAGAGGGGGGAGAGGGGGGAGAGGGGGAAAGGGGGAGCGAGCCAAGAGAACAGGTGCAGCAGCAGCAGCAGCAGAAGAAGAAGGGAAGGGGTGGCAGGGGCCAGAACGTGACTCCGAATCCGGGGGGCTTTGCGCTGGGGTTGCATGCTCCCAGGCGGTTCGACAAGGTGCTGCCTATTGAGGAATGTCACCTGCAGCACCCCATTGCCAACGAGGTTTGTCTGCTCACCTTTAGTCGACTCACAAGCAGACTCAGGCATACACTTGCACTGGGGTTGCATTCGCCCAGGCGGTTGGACAAGGTGCTGCTCCGGTTAGAGTGCCACAGGCAGCACCCCATCTCCAATGAGGTCAGTCAGTCAGGCAGGCAGTCAGTCAGTCAGTCAGTCAGTCAGTCAGTCAGTCAGTCAGTCAGTCAGTCAGTCAGTCAGTCAGTCAGTCAGTCAGTCAGTCAGTCAGTCAGTCAGTCAGTCAGTCAGTCCAGTCAGTCAGTCAGTCAGTCAGTCAGTCAGTCAGTCAGTCAGTCAGTCAGTCAGTCAGTCAGTCAGTCAGTCAGTCAGTCAGTCAGTCAGTCAGTCAGTCAGTCAGTCAGTCAGTCAGTCAGTCAGTCAGTCAGTCAGTCAGTCAGTCAGTCAGTCAGTCAGTCAGTCAGTCAGTCAGTCAGTCAGTCAGTCAGTCAGGCAGTCAGTCAGTCAGTCCGTCATTCAGCAGTCAGTCAGTCAGCCAGTCAGTCAGTCAGTCAGTCGGTCGGTCGGTCGGTCGGTCAGTCAGTCAGTCAGGCAGTCAGGCAGGCAGTCAGTCAGTCAGTCGGTCGGTCAGTCAGTCAGTCAGTCAGTCAGTCAGTCAGTCAGTCAGTCAGTCAGTCAGTCAGTCAGTCAGTCGGTCGGTCGGTCGGTCAGTCAGTCAGTCAGTCAGGCAGTCAGTCAGGCAGTCAGTCAGTCAGTCAGTCAGTCGGTCAGTCGGTCAGTCAGTCAGTCAGTCAGTCAGTCCACGTGCCCTCTGCCCATCATAGAGGATGCTTCAAGGGCTATCTATCTGTTTTGTCTGTGTTTCGTTGCTGGCTGGACGGGTTATGAAGCCATTTCATACAGAAACAGCAATATCTGTCTCTTCTTGACACAGCCCTTTCACGCTGCCCATCTTGTCTTCTCGACATCCTTTCTGCTAAGGTCGGCTTTCCTCCTCATTGGGCAATGGGCATCCCTCCAACCCCCCTTGAACATCCTTCCACTGTGTGTGGCAGATCCTGGCTCATGTGCGTGAGTGGAGTGAGCAGCACCAGCACGTGCTGCCGCCGTACGACCCCATCACACACGAGGGCGTGCTGCGACACCTCGCCATCCGCAAGGGCCGGTGTGTGTGTGTGTGTGTGCCTGGATGCATGTGCACATGAGTGCATGTGCGCATGTGCGCATGTGTGCATGTGTGCATGTGTGTATGTGCGTATGTGCGTATGTGCGCATGTGTGCATGTGTGCATGTGCGCATGTGTGCATGTGCGCATGTGCGCATGCGTGCATGTGCGCGTGTGTGCATGTGTGCATGTGCGCATGTGTGCATGTGTGCATGTGTGCATGTGCGCATGTGTGCAAGTGCGCATGTGTGCATGTGTGCATGTGTGCATGTGTATGTGTATTTGCCGGTGTGCACATGCGACCCCATCACACATGAGGGCGTGCTGCCACACCTCGCCATCCGCAAGGGCCGGTGAGTGCCAGCAACTGTGTGGGTGGGCGTACACGCGTATGTGCGCATGGGTGCGCATGGTGCTTTGATTGCCTTGGGTGGTTCGTGCACCAACCCTCGCTAATCTGCCATGCGTGCATCTTGGTCTGTGTGTCTGGCCCCAGCGATGAGTTGACCGGCAGGAAAGAGTTCATGGCGGTGCTGGTCGCAAGGACCGACTGCCCTGACCTGCTGCAACATCCCTCCCCTGCCTCCCATGCACGCATCTTTGTCTACGTGTCTGCCCCCCAAGCGATGAGTCTACCGGCAGTATAGAGTGTTATCTGTCTGTTTATCTGTTCCTCAGTGCCGGTCTGCTTTTGAGTCGACTCAGTTGCCTCAGGCTTATCTGTGCCTCAGTGCCGGTCATCTCATACCTGCCACTCAGTAGCTCATTGAGGTGCTGGTCACAAAGGCTGTCCCTATGTCACAAAGACTGACTGCCCTCCCATTTGTCTCTGTGGTGGTGCATGCTTGGTAAGTTGGTAATTGAGAATTCTCAAGAAACAAATTTGTCCTTTATTGTGGTGCGTGTGTGGGTGTGTTTTTTAGTCGACTCAAAAATCGACTCATTACAGGGTGTGTGTGTGGGTGTGTGTGTGGGTGTGCGAGTGGGTGTGTGTGTGGGTGTGTGTGTGTGTGTGGGTGTGTGTGTGGGTGTGTGTGTGGGTGTGTGTGCAGGTGTGTGTGTGGGTGTGTGTGTGGGTGTGTGTGTGGGTGTATGTGTGGATGTGTGTGTGGGTGTGTGGGTGGGTGGGTGTGTGTGTGTGTGTGTGGGTGTGTGGGTGGGTGGGTGTGTGTGTGTGTGTGTGGGTGTGTGTGTGGGTGTGTGTGTGGGTGTGTGTGTGGGTGTGTGATCCTATGCTCGCCCAGGGATGAGTTGACCGGCAGGGAGGAGTTCGTGGTGGTGCTGGTCACCAAGACCGACTGCCCCCTCATGTGTCCCTCCCTGTCGCCCAATCCGTACGTGCATGTGTGCGTGAGTGCGTGCGCGCGTGCGTGTGTGCGTGAGTGCGTGCGCACGCGTGTGTGTGTGTGTGATTGCGTGCGCACGTGCGTGCGTGCGTGAGTGCGAGCGCGCGTGTGTGTGTGCGTGAGTGCGTGCGCGCGTGCGTGTGTGCGTGAGTGCGTGCGCGCGTGCGTGTGTGCGTGAGTGCGAGCGCGCGTGCGTGTGTGCGTGAGTGCGTGCGTGCGTGCGTGCGTGTGTGCGTGAGTGCGTGCGCCGTGCGTGTGTGTGTGTGTGTGTGTGTGAGTGTGTGCCCGTGTGCGTGTGTTCGAGAGTGTGTGTGTGCGTGAGTGCGTGCGTGCGTGCGTGTGTGCGTGAGTGCGTGCGCCGTGCGTGTGTGTGTGTGTGTGAGTGTGTGCCCGTGTGCGTGTGTTCGAGAGTGTGTGTGTGCGTGAGCGCGTGCGTGTCCCTGTCTGTCCCTAGGGATGAGTTGACCGGCAGGGAAGAGTTCATGGTGGTGCTGGTCACCAAGACCGACTGCCCTGACCTGCTGCAGCCTCTTGTTGAACAACTCGCCCTTGCCTTCCCTCAGATGGTACGCTCCCTCAACGACAGTACAGACTTCTTCGAGTCACCGCACCGGACACACAAGACTGCACAACACTGCAGATCACCGCACAACACCTCACAGCACCACCCCTGCCTCCCTGTCAATTTTCAAATTATTTTTTTCCCTGGAAACTGTCCAATTGTTGCACTCCTCCCTCCTACTCCTCCCCTCTCGTCTCTCTCATCCCGACTTCCCTCTCCTGCCCTCCTTTGGGTCGACTCAGAAGCAGCAGCAGCGTCTTCCCTCTCATGCCCTCACCATACCCACCCCCCACCCTCCCCCACCCCCCCTGCAGGTCAGCTTCATAATGACAGTAGGTGATTTTTGAGTCGACTCAAAAATCACCTAATGACAGTCAACCCCTCCTTAGCGGACGCCACCTACTTTTCAGTCGAATGAAAAAAAGCCCCCCCCCCACCCTCCCCCCCCCATCCCACGCTGCAGGTCAGTTTCATAATGACAGTGAACCCCTCCTTAGCGGACGCCACCCCGCCTTCCCCTCCTTCTCCTCCCTCCCCAACCCTACCTACCTCCCCCCTCACCCCCCATACAGGTCAGCTTCATAATGACGGTGAACCCCTCCTTAGCGGACGCTACCCCCCCTAATGCCCTGGAGCGGCTGCTGCATGGGCGGAGGGTGATCAGCGACTCGCTGCGCTCGCTGCACTTTGACATCTCCGCCGCTTCCTTCTTCCAGACCAACTCAAGCCAGGCGAGTAGCTCCACTTACCAGGCTTGAGGAGTCCATTTTTGAGGCGCCTCAAAAATCAACTCAAGCCAGGCGAGTAGCTCCACTTACCAGGTAAGTTGCGAGAGTAGCTTCCATGGAATTCTTCCAAATATCCATGGTAAAGTGGAGCTTCCATGGAATTCTTCCAAATATCCATGGTAAAGTGGAGCTTCCATGGAATTCTTCCAAATATCCATGGTAAAGTTGAGCTTCCATGGTAGCGAGATGACTTTTGAGTCGACTCTCAAAAGTGGAGCTTCCATGGTAGCTCCAAAGCCGACCTCCCTGTTTCACCCACTCCCTCCCTCCTCTCCCTCCCCTCCCTCCTCTCCCCCCTCTCCCGCCTCTCCCTCTTGTCCCGCCTCTCCCTCCTCTCCCTCCTCTCCCTCCTCTTTCTCCGCCATCCCTCACAGGCAGAACTTCTCTACAAGTTGGTGGAGCGGGCATGCGCACTGAGGGGCGACGGCAGCGAGCTGCTCTTTGAGTCAGACTCAAAAGTCGTCTCCTCTCCCCCGTCTCTATACCTGGCAGGCCGAGGTGCTGTACAAGTTGGTGGAGCAGGCATGTGCGCTGAGGGGCGATGGCAGCGAGCTGCTCTTGGACCTGTTCTGTGGCACCGGCACTATCGGCCTCTCCATGGCATCCAAGTGAGACATGCCGCACCATTGGCCTATCCACACATACGCACACCGCTGTGCTTCTCCACTGTGCAAGGCTCAATCCTTGCGCAAGGCTCAATCCCTTCGCAAGGCTCAATCCCTTCGCAAGGCTCAATCCCTTCGCAAGCAGGGATATGACAGTCAAGCGCGAGTCGTCCCCATATTGAGTTGAATATAGGTGTCAAACTTTCTGTCCAGCCAATTCTCCAAGTCCAAGTCCATCTGTCCTATGTGTGCAATCCCTCTCTTCTCACCTCCTTACCACGTCTTTAACCCTCTCTCCATCCACCCATCCGTCCTTTCACCCATCCGTCCAATCAGAGTGCGCCATGTGTACGGGTTCGAGCTGGTGCCGGAGGCCATAGCAGACGCGCGTCGCAACGCGGACCGCAACAGCATCAGCAACGCCACGTTTCTCACCGTTGACCTCAACAAGGCCCTGCCCACCCTCCCCAGTGCTACTGCTGCTGGGAATGGGAGACCCGATGTTATCATCACAGGTATCTAGAGGGGCCTTGTGATGAGTCTTGTGGGTCTTGTGGGTCTTGTGGGTTTTGTGGGTCTTGGACGACGTAGATGCTTTTACTCTTGTGGGTCTTGTGCTTTTTTCCAAGTTTTGTGGCATTCGTTTTGTGGTAGTATTCGTTTTGTGGTATTCGTTTTGTGGTATTCCTGAATCGACGTCTCCTCTTCCCCCGACTTCATCACCCACTCGCCCTGCTTTCCCCCGTTCGCGACCCCCCCTCCCCCCCCTTCCCAGCTGTCATGGCAGATGTGATTGCCTCCCTCATTTCCACTCCCCCCTCCCCCTCCTTCCTGGAAGCATCCCCCATTTCCACAAGAAAACAACCCCCTCATCTCCCCCCCTCTCTCTCTCCCCGCTCCTACTCTCCAGGCAGATCCCAACCGCCCCGGCGTGCACCCACGGCCGCTGGAGCACATGGCGGATGTGAGCGTGCCCACATGTTCCACAACCCCCTTCCCCTCTCTCTCTCCCCACCCCTACCCTCCATGCAGACCCCAACCGCCCTGGCATGCACCCGCGGCAGCAGGAGCACATGGCGGATGTGAGCGCACCCCACATGTGCAACAACCCCCTTCTCCCCCACCTCTCCCCACCTTCCCCCCCTCTCTCCCCACCCCTACCTCCATGCAGACCCCAACCGCCCCGGCATGCACCCACGGCTGCTGGAGCACATGGCGGATGTGAGCGCGCCTCGCATCGTGTACGTCTCCTGCAACCCCGCCACCATGGCGCGCGACCTGCACGCTCTCTGCCACCAGCTGCCCGTGAGTCCCTAGGCCGAGCTATTGTTGCTGGGTGATTCACTAGTCCCTGTTGCTGTAATCCGGGAGCAACAAGCACTGGGCATGCTTCCCGCAAACCCCATTATCGTGGGATGAGACCTGCACACGCTCTGCCACCAGCTCCTAGTGAGGCTCATGCCATTCCCTTAGGCTTCCCCTTGTTCCATTGTTTCAAACCTCCCCTAACTCCCCCCCATTTCCCCACTCCAACCCCCCCCCCCCTCCACCACCACTCCCCCTCCCCCCCCACACACACATACACATTCCAACAACTCTTCTCTGAATTGCCTCTGACCTTTACCCTCATCTCTCCTTTCTCTGAACAGAGTGGTCGTCCAGGACCGTATCGGCTGGTGTGGATACAACCTGTTGATATGTTCCCTCACACACCACACGTGGAATGTGTGGCTGCACTTGCACTCAGATAGCCGTTTATGTTCACTCAATCACAGCCATGGTAATTAGCTCACCCCAAGATGCTAAGCTTCTTAGTAGTTAAGTGATTCACAAGAGATGCAAAGTACATGTTATCAAGCCCCGTCCGTTGAAATGACATGTCATTTACCAGGGGTTACACGATTCGACTTGACACCTGACAACATTGTTTGCAGCGTGTCAACATGACCAGCACCTAACGACCAATCAAACTCATCGAACCAGAAGCTGACGAATGTGTAGAGTTGTCGCCAGCTAACCAAAATTGTCGCTACAACCTAGTTCAGCATCTGCTTTCGCCAGCCAAATATCTGCACATGCACCGGTCGAGTTTCTTTGACTAACAGTTGTGCGCGGAGTACCGAACTATTTTGGCCAATGAAAAGCCTTCGCAAATCTTCGTGCACGCTATTCGATTTGACTCAGCAGCTACAGTGTTGACCCTCAACGTGGGCGCGCTCTGGTTTGACACAGCTAAACTGACATGTTATTTCTACGGACGCCAACTCATTTGTGCAGGTAATCCCGCCCTAACTCCCCCACCTGTCTTTCTGAAATGACAACGTCCGAACGGATTTTCCGTACAGTAAACCACGCTTTACTGTAGTATACACTAAGCCTGCGGAAGTTTACACCCAGTATTTTCACAGGGGGTGCCGCTTAGAGGGTATTCACCCCCCGAAAGCAGCTCCTGAAGACCAGATCTGGATACTCTTGAAAAACAATTTGAAGTTGGATTTCTATACGAAACGTTTACTGTTCGATTTAGTGTTCCTCGAGTCAGGAAACCCGACGTTAGCTTAGGCAGTGCTCAAAAGTGTTTGCCCGCATAGAGTCTTGCAAGCTTAGGCCGTAGGAACAAGGGGGTACTATCTACGCACTCAGAAATGGTCAGGGTGGAAACAAATGTTTTTCTGCCGCCCAGTTTCAGGGTGTGAAATTACCGCGGGCTAAGTGTATCAGACCATTATGGGATGGCCACAAGGGCTGTGATGACGTTGTATGGATGGCATTAGCTTGTTTCAGGCATCATATTGAATGATAACCCACGTGCCATGGTTGTGAAATTCCGCTGCAAGCGAGGAGTCTTCTCACACTGGGCTTTGTTTTATGTTCGTGGAACCGTGTATCTACCTGAACACTGATTTCTCCCTCAAATTGAACAAATGCCCGATCGGCTCAGATATGGAAACAATTCGTTTTGTTACATGGCGCGAAAAGAGAGCGCGAGTATATCAGAACTTCTAACAAAACCGCCACCCCTCCTTTGTACGAGCTATATCAGAACTAGAAACCACTTATGGGCTACACGCTATTGTCGAATTCGGGCCGAAATATAATTTTAGAATTTCCCTTTCCAAGAGCAGTTGTCAGGAAAGCTATGTGCACCATCGAATTGCCCCGGCCCATGTTGGCCCTTGAGGAGGCATGGCTGGCGAGCGCGGGCCAGCGCCTTGCTGCAATGCAAACTGTCCTGCCAACTTCCGCACCGCACAGAACAGCCAAGAGGACAAGACGTTTTGTGTGTGTAGACTGGTATTTGCAGGGGTATGCAAATCAAAGAACGGCGTCCACCTTCCAGACAAATATACACACTAGGAGTCCGCGCACACTCAGAGTGATTCAGGGGCTCTCGACGGACAGCGGGACGACCCGAGTTAAAGAAAATTGCCTCGGACTTTCTGAGCTTGCCGGCTGTTCTGACTGGAAATGCACGGTTAGCTGACAGACTTGGCAGACTTATTGGCGCGCACACATATCCATCATTCCTCCACCAATGTCATACAGTCACAGTTCGCTTTTCGCCTTCGCATTCCCTTTTGCACGACCGTCTGAATCACTAGACTCGCGACTGGGTTTATACGACCCGCGGCTCCTTCGACCGCGGGTCAGCATCGTGTCTCACCCGAGGTGCGGGACACGCTCTCAACGATGAAGGCAACAAAAGACGCACAAAGTGAAGGGTGTCGATTGCTCCTGGAAAATAGCCCCCAAAGCCTATGATAATCTAGGGTAGCCTGGACGAGAATATGACTGGCTGCTGGTCCCCAACCATTCGGTAGGTTTAGTTCGTTGTCAAGATCTCTACGTTTGGTGTATTGTTTTCAGTGCGCCTTATTGTAAGGGTGTAAGGTCAGGTCAGGTCTTTCCATAACTCATGGACACTGTAACCGAGACACGGAAGGGAGACGGTAAGTGTGGCCTCAGGCCTGCCAGGGCAGACAGGAAACCCTGTTATTAAATAACAGAGGTGGAAAACAAAGAGAGCTCTGTACCAGGGCGTATTTGTCAAGGGTAATTATCCAGAATGAGAAAACATTAAGAGTTCGCGTTGGGCTCGTTCCGGATTTTGAACGGGTAGAGTTATTGGGTTTCCGGATTTTATAGAAGTGATGTTGCGGGGGGCTCCGTGAAAATCAGAATCCGCTGGGGGGGCAAACCGGCTGCAACTGCCTAGAAATACCCCCCCCACCCCCCTCCCCTTCCCCCATCCTCGCACCCAGGGTGGCAGTGACAATCCCAACTTTCAGAAACAATCCCACGGAGCCCCCGAACCCTGGAAATTCGGCTAAGTCCCTCACACACATAACTCCCACACCAGCAAAACTCAGAAAAAACGGCTAAGTCCCCAACTTCCAGCAGTATTCCTTCCTTAACCCCGCAACCAAGCAAATATGGCGAAGTCCCCCACACACAGACATACCGTGCTCCTCGAACCCGCACCTCCCGAAACCCAGAATTTTCGGCTAAGTCCGTCACAGTCAGGAACATTCCTTCCTCGATCATAGTTGAATTCGGCTAAGTCCCTCCCAAACAGAGATAGTCCTCCCACCCACACCCACGAAACTTCGGCTAGTCCTAATTGCAGGAACATAGAGTATTTGGCTAAGTCTTCCTTAAATCTATAGAGTTTTACACAAAGAGACTCCTCCTATCCAGGCCATCCTAAATCTGGAATATTTGGCGTCCCTCACAGGCTGGAAATTTCCTCCTACAGCTTGGCACGCCCACGAAGCTCGGAAAATTTGGCTAAAAACGTTTAGCCACGTTTCCCTCCTCCCCCTCCCCGCAACCCAGAAAGTTGCGAAGGTTGCTGGCACAAACTCTACCCTACTTTAGCAGGTTTGTCAGAAAACTAGCGGAGGAAATTCACACTCCTAACATAGCAAATCCAAATGTTCTCTCTTTTTCTGGCACTCCGCAAATGTTACCCTGTTTGGACCTTGAACATTTGACATGTCCGAGTCAATGTTTGCTGTAACTCGGCTAAAAGTAACTTTGTACCCGAATCCAGATGAAACAGAAATCAACTACCCTGAAATCCGGACGAATCAGGGTGCAGGGGGGTGGGGAATCCGGGAGAAACAGAGTCTAAAAAAACCTTAGCGTGAGCCCTGCTCTGTACAGTGTGAAGCGTGTGGGTGAACCGCGTCGTATACCGCGCTACCCCAGTCTGCGAGTCAGCTTGCGCACCTACTCTCCACTCCACTCTACCAGGGCCTCATGCTGCTGTTCCTTTGTTCTTTTGTGCTGCCTGCCTGTCCTTGCCCCCCTCGGCCTCACCCACGCATACACTTCCGTCCGTTCCATTCCATCCATCCATCCATGCTGCGAAGTCGAGGATATCTCATTTTTGTGTACAAGCAGATGCCAGATACGCAGCACCAGCAGCTACTCGAGCCACAGGTCCAAATATTCCAACTTGCCCGAATGATATCCACTCTAGGAGGACCGAATCCCTTGTAAGAACGGATTATTTCCTTACCTTCGACCGCGGCTGTGACGATTCCTATGGTCCCCAGGATTGAATGCATGCCGCTCAGGCAAGAGGCGCCATTTTGCCTTGCCGGGAAATTAAACTCTTTCGCGCTAGTCCCACTAGCAGAACCTAATCCTTCTAACGGCTGTCAGGAGTCCAGTCAGGGCCTAGTCTTGCACCCGCAAACGGTCTCGAGACTGCCGCCGAGTGGAGTTACGCACGCGGCGAAACGCCGAAAAATACGAAGTCACCACCAGGCGACTGAAATAACGCCGGCGGTCCTTGCACAGACCGCGCCGATAAACGGAAATACAGAAAGATCGTCTGGACGGCAACAGTTGGAAGCTGGTGAAACGGAGCAGCGCCAGCGGCAGCAGCAGCAGCAGCAGCAGCAGCAGCAGCAGCAACAGCAGCAACAGCAGCAGCAGCAGCAGCAGCAGCAGCAGCAGCAGCAGCAACAGCAGCAGCAGCAGCAGCAGCAGTTCCAGCCGCTGTCGCCGGGCCGTTGTGCCGCGGCCGCTAGTAACTATAGTCAGCACCGTCCTGTGCCCGCCGTATTCGCCGGTAGCATCTCCGTCGGTAACATACCCTCCAGCGCCGCTGTCAGCGCACCTCGCGCCGAAGCCCCCGCCGCTGCCGCTGCGGCTAGCTCTTTCGCCGCCTTTGGCGGTACTCTACTAAGGGCCGATTCCAGCGGCGTCTGCGTCCCGTCGTCCGCAAACGAGCGCGGAGGAGGGGGGACGCGCCAAAGCCGACCAGCAGCCGCGCACACCTTCCGCTGCTTCCCCCCCGCGCTTTCCTCCGCGGAGTCCCCCGTAACATTGCCCTCACCCCAATCCCCCCCCTCCGCCAGGGGTTTCTCCTCCGCATTCAACCCCGCGCTTCCGCAATCCCCCCGACCCGTCCTCGACTCAGCTCAACCGTCTATTGGCAATCCTAGCAACTCCCCCACCCTCTGCGTTCCTTCGACCTGCGCCTTCTCACCGCGCGCCACCCTGCCTCGGACTCCGCGCGCCTCTCGGGCGCGTGATAATAGTTATACTAATACTAATAATACTAATAATACTAATAATAATAAGAATAATAATAATTTTCATCATCATCATCATACCGATAATAATACAATTCAAATACCCGCTGGCGTGAGCCCGCGGCTGCTGCTGTCGCGGGGAGCGGGGTCGCAGCTGCTCCACCCGTCGTCGTCCATCAGTCGTATATGGACCCAACCCCGCGCCGAGTTAACTCTCCTCACCGCTACTAGCAGCATTGTCGCCCCGGGCCCAACCCTTGCTTCTCTCGCTCCGAAAAGAGGTTCTCTCGCCTCCGCTGTTGTCGCCGTTGCTGTGGGTTCCGCCGCTCCCGCCGCTCTCGCCGCCCCTGCCGCAGCGGCAAGAGCCAGGTTTTCCGGTTCCCTGCTATCAGCCGGCGCTCCGGCGAGCGGGGATGCGGAAGGAGGCGGGGAAGCGCAAGGGTCGGGGGGAAGCGCGGATCGCGCAACGGCGGGGTCGACTCGGGGAAATGGCCAAGGGGGGGAGGAGAAGCGGCGCAAGAAGCGCGGTAGCGACGCGGAAGTCCGCGGGCGAGGTTTGGGGCTACCGCAAAGTGAGGGGGGGGGACAAGGGGAGGGGCAAATCCGTTGGGAGGGGGGAGCCAGGCGCGCGGGGGAAACTCTAAGGGCAAGCAGGGGAGGCCTCAACGGGGCTGTGACGGGGGAGCGGGGAGGTTTCGGGCCGAGGCGCGGGGGATCGGGCGCCGGGGAAAGCGAGCGGAATGAGAGGGCCGCGGCGCGCATTTCCTCCCCGCGCGGGTCGGCAATGCGGGTGTCCGCCATGTTTTGGGAGGCTCTGCTGGGCGGCGGAGGCACGGGGGAAGGCGGGGGGAAAATGGGCGGAAGCGGCGGACTCATAGGCGGGGGAGGCGCGGAGGGGCCGGTGGAGGGGAAGGGAGCGATGGGGGAAGCGGAGGGGGGAGACGTGGCGCATGGGGGGAGGGAGTGCGTGGAGAGAGGGTTTGGGGGAGAAGAGGCGGAGAGGCACGTGCAGCCTCCAGAAAAGGAAGAAATGGTGGCGCAACGGGGGGTTGGCGATGGGGAGATAAATGCACAAAGCGGCAGGAAGGGCGAGGGGTCCCAGCAGGAGCAAGGAGAGGAGCGGAGAGCGCAGCGGAGAGGGCAGCGGAAAAGGATGTGGGGGCGAGTGCGGGCCCGGGGAGGTGGTAGAAGCACTCACGGGATCGAAGAAACAGGCAATGTGGAGGAATCAAGCGCACCGATCAGGCAAGGAATCAAGGCAAGGAGAAAGCGAAGAGAATCGAGTTCCATGAGAGGGCCAGCAGAAACCGAGCCAGGCTCTGCAACAGGCTCAGCAGCAGGCTTGGCATCAGGCTCGGCACCCGGCTCGGCAAGAAGGGGTGGGAGCTGGGGCAGCACTGTGCGTGAGATGAGCTCTAGAGAGCAGATGGCTTGGCTGGTTAGGACTCAAGAACGTGGAGAGGAAAGGGGAAAAGGGGGAGAAGGGGGAGAAGGAGCGGATGCAAGGAGGCTTGGTGTGGACGTGGGGGTGGAGCAAGTAGCAGGGGAATACAAGACTGGTCTGGGTGGAGAGGGGAAGTGGGTGAGAGGAGGAAGCGGAAGTGTCGCACAGGGTCTGGCTTGGCAGCAGTCGCTGGATGATTGCACTGAGACAGTGGCCATGGCGTGATGGCATGGCATGGGATGGCATGGGATGGGGGGACAAGAGTCATGTCTTTCCCATTGTACCTGTTGTCACAGTGAGTGTACCTACTGTTAACGAGAGAAAGAATGACTAGAACAAATGGATACAGGGGTATGTAGGCTAGGGTGTTGTACTCTCTATAGCATGACCCTATATAGTCTACTAAACATATAGACATATGTTTAACACGCCCCCTAGACTAAATAGGGGTAGTGCCTAGGAAAGACAAGCAGCTCAGGGTGGCACTACTAGTCCAGCCTTTGAGGCAAGGGTCTAAAGACCAGTCAAGAGAGTACAAACAAGGCAAGAGCAAAACCAGAGCGGCACTAGTCCAGCCATTGGGAAGAGGTCACAAGGCCAGTCAGGATTATATATAGAGAGTTTTACACAATCAAGGTCCTAGCAATTGAGGCGCTACAGGAACGAGACCAAGCTGTACACAGTGTCAACTTATACATGTCTTGCATGTAGAAGTTATAGGCTAGTATCGGTGTGTGCTCCTAGTGAGTACAACCCCAACTGCTATATGTTTTGTGTTTCTCTGCCTAGTAATTCGTTCGCGTATTCTAACATGGTATCACGCTTAGGTTAGGTCCCCCGCCCACCCGCTTCCGCCCGCGCCTTCGCCCTAGCTTCCTCCCCTCGTAGCTGGCCCCTAGCGCGCCCCTCGCGCCTCAGCCGCCACTTGCGCCCTAGGGCATCCTAGCGCCCACCTGGCCCCTCAGCTGGCCCCTAGCGCGCCCCTCGCGCCTGCCCGGTCCCACGCGCCAGCCCGGCCCCTTAGCGCTAGCCCGGCCCCCTAGCGCTCGGCCCGGCCCCCTAGCGTTCGCCCGCCCCCCTAGCGCTCGCTAGGCCCCCTAGCGCTCGGCCCGGCCCCCTAGCGTTCGCTCGGCCCCCTATCGCTCGCTCGGCCCCCTATCGCTCGCTCGGCCCCCTAGCGCTCGCTCGGACCCTATAGCTCGCCCGGCCCTTACACGCCTTAGCCTGGCCCCTTGCGTCTGCCCGGTCCCATGCGCCAGCCCAGCCCCCTTGCGCTCGCCCGGCCCCTTTGCGCCCGCCAGGATCCCTAGCGCTTGCCCGACCCTTACGCGCCCTAGCCCGGCCCCTCGCGTCTGCCCGGTCCCATGCGCTAGCCCGGCCCCCTTGCGCTCGCCCAGCCCCCTAGCGCTCGCCCGGCCCCTTTGCGCCCGCCAGGCCCTCTAGCGCTCTCCCGGCCCCTCGCGCGTGCCAGCTCCATAGCGCCTGCCCGGCCCCTCGCTTTCGCCCGGCCCCGTTGTACGCGCCCTAGCCCGGCCCCTAGCACCTACTCGATCCCTCACGCCTGCCCGGCTCCTAGCACTCGCCTGGCCCCTCTGCGCCTCCACGGCCCTTTGCGCCTGCCCGGCCCCCCTAGCGTCCGCACGGCCCTTCCGCACTCTAGCCCGGCCCCAGTGCCCGCTCAGCCCCTTGAGTCTCTGTCGGCGCCTCGTCTCGTGCCACCCTACTCTCTACCTCGGGCCCCTTGTCTTCTGCTAGCCCACGCTGGAGCGCCTTGAAGCTGTACTACTTGAGAGTGCTGCCGCTGTGCTCCTGCGGAGCTCCGGAGCTGTGCCGCTGTGTCCCTGTGCCGCTGTGCCGCTGAGGAGCTGTGTCGCTGAGGCGCTGTGTCACTGAGGAGCTGTATCGCTGACCCTGCACGATGGCTGACTTCGTTCTCCGTCTGGACGCTGAGGGCCACGCGATGGACTTCGCCGCCTGGCTCGCCGATCTCCGCCATCAACTCACAGGTCAGCGCCAGGATGGGCACTCCCTGGCTGTCCATGTTGATGGCTTGCTGCCCCTTCCCCCTGCGCCTGCTCCCCTCCCTGCTAACCCCACCTCGAGCGTGAGGCTTTCTCTGCCACTGCGCTAGCCTATGCCGTCTGGGACTCTCGCGATGCAGTTGCTCAGGTTGCTATCAGTCACGCCCTCCCTCTGTCTGAGCGTTCGCGTTTCTCTACTGTTGATACTGCCAAGGCTACTTATACACTGTTGTTGCTCGCTATTCTACGCCTGCCTCCGCCTCTGCAGGCCGTCTGCTTTTCCCTATGCTTTTCCCAGACCTAGCTGCCTTTCCTACTGTTGCAGACCTTGCCACTCACCTGCGCGCCCTAGAGTCTCGCTATCACACTGCTAGCACTGCTGCCCGGCTCACTGCGCTCCCCCCCCCCGTTCTGCATGACTCTCTACTTTTTCGCTATGCGCCTGCCTGACCGCCTAGCTAGTGCCCGCGACCACTTCCTTAGCCAGCACCCGGGTGATCTCACCCTAACTGCCTTTGTCACCGCCCTGACCGAGATCGAGACTCGCCAGCGCACTATCGCTCAATCGAGCGGTGCTGCGGCAGTCTCTATCTTTCAGGGCTGTGCCCCCTCCTAGTGCACATTTACTGATGTCTTGGCTGCGGTCGCCACTACGACCCCACTTACCGAGACTGCTGCTGCGGTCCACCCGCAGCAACGCCCGCGCCGCACCAGTCGTGGCCGCCAGGGAGGGCGTGGTGGTGGAGCTGGTGGTAGTAATGGTGGTGGCGGTGACAGTGGTCCTACTGAGGGGCCTGCCGCAGGTAGTCAGGAGCAGCAGCAATCGCCTCCACAGCAAGAGCAGTCGCAGCAGCCGTCGCAGTCGCAGCAGCAGCCACAGCAGCCCCAGCCGTGGGACCGTCTCCCGCCTGGTTGGCCCGACACCTCCGGAGGTGGTGGCCGTGGTGGCGGCCCTCGCAGCTTGGCGTCTTCTGGCCTCCCGGTGCTGTGACCTGCCAGTACCAACTTCAGACCGGGCCTCTCCGCGGCACTCTGTGCAGCCGCCCGCACTCGACAGCCCGCTGTTACCGCCGCCTCGACGATCTCTTCTGTCGTCGCTTTGGCCCGGCCCCGGACCTCCCCGACAGGCACAGCCTGCTGCGCCAGGGTGTGCCCATCAGATAGGTGATACTTTGCATGCCTTGTATGCTGACGCTTCTAGTGTTGCTAGATCTTATTACCATGTGTACACTAGCTTAGGTGTAGCACCCTTGTGTAGCTTAGCCTCCCCTGCTGCGTCAGGCGTAGGACTGTCTAGTTTCTCTAGCCTAGGCTCTGTGCCTGCTTCTTCTTCTTCCTCGACTATTGCGTCGCTGTCCTTCACCATCGACTTCGGTGCGTCGACCTGCTTCTTCCACGACCGCTCCACACTCACGCCACTTGCTGCGCCTACTGTTGTCCCCTTACTGACCCCTCTGCGGGTCCTGTCGTCGCTCGCAGCTCCACTTCCCTTCCCTGTCCGACCGTCCCCTTGGGCTCTCTTACCGGCCTCCACGTTCCCTCGTTCTCCAGGAACCTAGTTGGTGTCGGTTGCCTTCAGGACCTCGGCGTCACCACTACTTTCCATGGGCACGAGCGGTTCGCTGTCTGTACCGAGGCTACCTCAGGTTCCCCCCTTGCGACGTTCTCCCGGGACTCGGTGTCTGGTCTGTTTACCCCTGAAACCGCCCCCCCCCCCCCCCCCATTTGGTGCGTCCTCCCAAGTCGCTGCAGCTTGCTCGTGTCGGTCGCTCACCCACCCGTCCCTCTTGTGGCACCACCGCCTAGGCCACCATGCACTCCCGCGTCTGCGTCACATGTCTCAGCACGGTATTATCTCAGGTCTCCCTGCGTCGCTCCCAGCCCTCCCCCCCTCGCCTGCGCCACCGTGCACACCTTGCGTTGAGGGCCGGCTGCGCCGTGCTCCTCACTCCTCCTCGCTTTGCCCTGCTACTGCTCCCCTTCAGACCCTGCACCTGGACGTTTGGGGCCCAACCCCCGTCCCCGGACAGCGTGGCGAGCGGAACTTTCTTGTGCTCGTTAACGACTACACGCGCTACACCACGGTGTTTCCCATGGAGCGGAAGGCCGACGTGCCTAACGTTCTCATACCGTGGGTTGTGGCCGCGTGTCGTCACTGCGGTCTCCCAGTGCTGCGTCTCTACTCTGACCGTGGCCGCGAGTTCGCCTCTGGTCAGCTTGGACAGTTCTGTCGTACGGAAGGCATCACCTGTGAGAGTACGACCCCGTTACACCACTTGTCCCTTTTCTTATTTCCTTCCTCGTGCATTTCTCTCATCTCATTTGGTTTCCTATTCTCCCTTTTTCCTTAACCTTTGGTTTATCCTGCTATTGTAATTATATCACCGACCAGGCTTGGGATGTACTGGTGCGCTATCTGGCGTAATCCTGTCGTAATCCCTTAAAGCCAATAGCCTCGCGTGGCTATACGCAGGGTGATTCTATCTTCTAGAAGGGTCTATTCCCTTAGGATAAGATAAACCTGGTTACCTGATGTACTCTGGAAGTATAAAAGCGCCTTGTACTGATCGATAGTGCAATCTTTCCTCGACACATTCGATCCTGTGACACTTGGTAATCAGAGCTTTTCTCACTCGACCGCGCTCAGCTAAGCAGCAGCAGCGGGGATCCTGCCTCGAAAAACCGCCGGGGGCGACCAATTCGACGCCGATTCTGGTAAGCACCAGCCCCGCGATTTTCGAATTACCCCCTCCGTGCGTGTTTTGAACAGGATGGCAACCTTCGACACCGCCGAGGTTACCCAGCAGCTCTTTGCGCGCATCGCAGCCCTTCAGGAGGAAATGCGAGCAGATCGCGAAGCGTGGCGAAATCAGTTCGAGCGAGTAACTCGACTCGCCGGAGCGCAGCACGAGACGACAACGGCGACGACGCAGCAGTCGCAGCAGTTTCTCGAGGCTCCGAAACCGCGCCCACCTGAGCCGTTCGATCCGAGCGATCGAAACTCCGACGCCCGCAGATGGATCGCCGGGATGGAGATCTACTTCGCAGCCGTCGGATGGAGCTCGCCAGTCTGGGACGGTCAACGCGTACGACTCGCGGCGACACTGATGCGAGGGCCGGCACTCGAGTGGATTGGCGGCAACAGTACTTTCATCCACGGTAAAGCCACGTGGCAGCAGTTCCGCACCGACCTGCTGAAACGCTTCGAACCGATAAATTCGAGTTTCCTTGCCCGGGAAAAAATTCATCGGCACCGACAGTTCGGGAGTGTACCGCAGTACACGCAGCAGATGGAGGAATTTTATAACCGCATTCCCGACCTGACCGAAGGGGAAAAAGTACAATCATACCTCGCCGGGCTGAAGACCGAAGTCAAACGACAAGTCGCTGCGTCAAACTACGCGAGCTACAGTGACGTCGTTTCGGCAGCGGAGCGCTTCGACATGGTCAACGCCGGAACACGACGGACGCACGTCGGCAGTACGCGACAGGGCGACCGCTCGGCTCACCCCACGTTCGCCGACCCGATGGAAGTCGACAGATTCGAGGGGCGGCCACGTCCGAAAAACACCAACTACACGTGTGATTTTTGCGGGGTGCCGGGCCACTGAATCTTCGACTGCAGCAAAATGAAGACCGCACGCGCAGAGTATCGGGCACGCAACAGTGGCGGAAATCTTTCGGCCAATCAGAAGACAAAAAACGGGAGTCGCCAGTGATTGCGGATCTAGCTGGCGAAAATAAAAAGATCCGAAAGCGGCCACGGGATTCCGGGAAAATCAACTTCGACGAAGCTGATTCGACGCGAGAAGGAGGAAATGATGGGGGAAAATCTCCACCCCACGACCAGTCCTCGCCAGGGAAAATCGCCGAGGAAAAATACGACTCCGCGAAAAAAGACTCTGCCGAGACGGGGAAACTCCTTGAAGACCCAAGAAATTATAAGAATTCGTTAAAGTTATCTTATAAAGATGCTTTAATGAAAACTTATGAATTTCGAGGGGCTAGAGCCTTGGAGAAAATACGGGAGGGACTCCAAAAGAAGCAAAAAGCTGTGGAGATCATACCGGTACCGGACAACATGGGGAAAAAATTAAGGAGTGTGGAAAGAAGCCGACCTTTCCACGGAGTCAACGTCCTCTCCCGACACCAGCCCACAACGACTACCCGTTCCCCAGGGAAGACGTCGGTGGAGCTGAAGCAGCTCAAGAGGAAGCTGGGGGTCTACAAGAAGCTGCACAAACCCCGAACTCCTCCTACGGATGCATCCAGTTCTTCGGCATCAGTGACGCTCACAGTCGTCAAAGAAACTCCGGGCCCTGGAGAAGAGCCGTTCTCCAAGCAGCCTTGGCCAGCTGCCAGCTCAGGAGTAGACAGCAACACAAAGGTGTGTACGGAGTATTGGGATGTACCCTATGACCCAATCAATGAAACCATCTTTGGGTACTCCGAGCAACGACTGCCCCTCGTGCTCGAGGTCATCTGCAAAGGACGACGCCTCCAAGCACTCGTGGACAGCGGAGCATCACACACCGTCTGCGACAAGACAGTAATCGACCGACTACGGGGAGAGTACAAGCCCTCAGGATTCTCTGCAACGATGGTGGACGGGGGCAAGTTACCAGTATACGGCGAAGCAGTGCTACATCTACAAATCGGACCACTGCGCTGGAGACCTGCACTCCCCATCACCAACATCAAAGGGCTTGACTTGATCTTCGGACGAGACTTCCTGAAAAGATTCAACCCCGAGATCAACTGGGTGAACCGCACCGCAAGCATCTACAACAATGGACGGAGAGTACAGCTACCCAACTGGGACGATACTGGAGATATCCCAGTAGAGACGCTCGCACGATTCGAGAAGGACGTGAAGCGGACCGACACCGGGTTCCTGGCGATAGCAACAGAGGTGGAGAATGACGGAGAGGAAGCCTCGGAACCTCCAGAAAAAATCAAGGAATTATTGAAGGAGTTCCAAGACATTCTTCCTGACGATCTTCCGAACGAGCTACCGCCATACCGAACGCATCAACACGAGATCGTGGAGGAACCGGGTTCGAAGCCGACCTTCCGAGCACCATACCGGCTCAGCCCTACGGAGCTGACTGACATGAAAAAACAGATCGAGTATCTCCTAGCCAAAGGACTCATCCGGCCATCCACTTCGCCCTACGGTGCCCCAGTACTCTTCACCCCGAAACCGGACGGAAGCCTGCGCATGTGCATCGACTACCGAGCTCTTAACAAGCAGACCATCAAGAATAAATATCCGATACCGCGAATCGATGACCTGCTTGACCAGCTTCGGGGAGCTACGGTATTTTCCAAACTGGATCTGCGGTCCGGATACTGGCAGATACGGATGGCGGACAACTCTATCCACAAAACCGCTTTTCGAACTCGGTACGGATCGTACGAGTATTTGGTAATGCCGTTCGGACTCACCAACGCGCCGGCAACGTTCCAAGCCGAAATGAACCACATTCTACGACCACTTCTGGATGAATGCGTGGTGGTGTACCTGGACGACATCCTCATCTACTCGCGCGACATGAAGCAGCACGTCGAACACCTGCGACGCGTCTTCGAAATTCTTCGACGGGAACGAT